CTTAAACATCGACTTATGTTAAACATCGACTTATCTTCAACATTTACTTATGTTAAACATCGACTTATCTTCAACATTTACTTATCTTAAACATCCACTTATCTTAAACATTTACTTATCTTAAACATCGACTTATCTTAATAATTGACTTATCTTAAACATCTACTTATCTTAAACATTTACTTATCTTGAACATCGACTTATCTTAAACATCGACTTATCTTGAACATCGACTTATCTTGAACATCGACTTATCTTAAACATCGACTTATCTTAATCATTAACTATTCTTAAACATCGACTTGTCTTTAACATTTACTTATCTTAAACATCGACTTCTCTTAATCATTGACTTGTCTTAAACATCGACTTGTCTTAAACATCGACTTATCTTGAACATTTACTTATCGTAAATATCGACTTATCTTAAACATCGACTTATCTTTAACATTTACTTATCTTAAACATTGACTTGTCTTAATCATCGACTTGTCTTAAACATCGACTTGTCTTAAACATCGACTTGTCTTAAACATTTACTTATCTTAAACATCGACTTATCTTAAACATCGACTTATCTTTAACATTTACTTATCTTAAACATCGACTTATATTAAACATCGACTTATCTTAAACATCGACTTATCTTGAACATTTACTTATCTTAAACATCGACTTATCTTGAACATTTACTTATCTTAAACATCGACTTATCTTAAACATCGACTTATCTTAAACAACGACTTATCTTAAACATCGACTTATCTTAAACATCGATTTATCTTAACATTTACTTATCTTAAACATCGACTTATCTTAAACATCGACTTATACTGGTAGGAACGAAGTTGTAAACTGAGTGTACCAGCCTGCAATAGATTAATGTGTCCGTCTGTCCGTCCCTTTCAATACTTTAAGAAGTGAAATCTCGTGCTGTTGGGTGTAATAAATTTGCGCAAAATTCCAATGTTTCTACCAGCCCACCCTGCAGGGACCTGTTAAGTTAGATTTCGTAAATATAAATGTGTCATGCAACACACCACCACCCGACACAGTAAGGTTTGTCACATAAACAGAACATGCCAACACACTGGTATGCTGTACTAGTAACAAATTGCCATGTTCTGTTTACGTGATAAACCTTTGTCGGGTGGTGGCGGGTTTAACGACAGATTTATATTTACGAAGCCATCTCCCAGAGGTCCCCAGCGGAAGAACCGTGTTCAGAGGAGGTGCCGAGCCAGCAGCACACTCAATCTCCCATCTCGCTGGCGGTGGGGTCGGGGTGGGGCGGACGCTCGTGCCTGCTCATCACAGTTGGTTGGCACAAGGTGTAACGTTGATAAACCTGCGGAAGAAAACGAGCGTTAAGCCGCGCAGTCCTTTGGTACCCGCCCCTCCCATCTTTCCCACCTGGCACACGCAAGCTGAGTCAGCGCAGGGGGCCACGGCGCGTGGGTGAGACAGAAAGAGGTCCGTGTCCGTGCCTGGACGGGATGTGGCGCCGGGTGTTAACGGCGATGCTCTCGTGACCGTGCGTTCGTTTGTGTGTATGCGCGCGTGCGTCTCACCTGTGACCGTCCTTCTGCTGCACGAACCCCGGTGGCTGTTGGTTCTCATACATTGGAGAAACATTTCCCCCCCGGGGCTGGGAGACCTGTGAAGGAGACCGCCATGAACATCAGCTCGTCGAGAACGCCCGAGGCAAACGAGCGATTCGCTCGCACATCCTAAACCCATGCTCTGGGCTTTACAGCGAACACCTTAACATGGCTGTCATTGCATGTGTGTGTACGCATATGTTGGTACTTGTACGCGTGTGTATGTACGTGCGGAGCAGTAGTGTAGCGGATAGCGCGCTGCTCTACGAACCCGGTGACCCGACTTCTATGGCCGCTTATGGACAATACCAGTGACGATTATCTGAATGGGTCCTGGGGCTTCCCTAAAGTCGAATGAGCCTCAAATGAGTACTTTGTGAAGTGTGTAAACATTGCCATTGGGAAGACAAAGGCGGCCGGGCGTAGTGTCGGCCACCTACCCCCTTGTGTGCCATAATTACGGCCTTCATAGATGCTTGCTAACAGCACTTGCTCCAAAAGTCTTTTTAGGCTCTATAGGGGATCTTTGTCTATTCACCAAGGTTCCTGTACCTGACACCATTGCAATCATTGAAGACTTGGTTCATCAAGGACTAAACACTGAGGTACCCCCCCTGGTGAGACACTGTTTAACCAATACATACTTCACTTGGAATGGAACTTTCTACAAACAAACTGAGGGCACCCCAATGGGCTCCCCCCTTTCTCCAGTTATAGCTAACATTTTCATGGAGAAATTTGAGACTGACGCCATCCAGACTGCCACTCTGCGCCCAACCTTATGGAAGAGGTACGTGGATGACACTTTTGTCATCTGGCCACATGGCCGGCCTGCTCTAGACCAATTCTTCGACCACATCAATTCCATACACCCAGCCATCAGATTACCATGGAAGTCGAAATAGATGGCAAGATACCTTTTTGGATGTCCTAATTAAAAAGAGACCTGATGGTTCAATGAGCCCACTCTGTCTACAGGAAAGCTACCCATACAGATGCTTATCTGAAACCGGATTCCCACCACCATCCATCACAGAAGAATGCTCTCATCAAGACTCTGTATCATAGAGCCCAATGCATATCCGACCAGGAACACATAAGCAGTGAACTCAAGCACGTACACCAAGCTCTTAGGGCTAATGGTTACTCCGACTATACAATCCGCAAAGCTATCACTCAAACCATGAAGAAGAACCCTCTTGAGGAGCCTTTCAAAACCATCACTTTACCCTACATTGCTGGGATCACAAAAAAGATCTCCAAAATCTTGAATAAACACAGGATCCAGGTCCGTTTCAACACATTACATAAAATCCGTGATCTGGTTCCGTCTGTAAAAGATGTGATTCCGGACATACAATACCCTGGTGTCTACAAACTAAGTTGCCTCTGTGGTAGTAGTTACATTGGAGAAACCAAACGCCATATCTCGGACCGCATTCGTGAACATAAAGCAGACCTTAAACACGGTAGGACCAACACCTCGGCCGTAGCAGATCATTGTTCTAATTCAGTAGGCTCACATGCCATTGACTTTTCCAAGACGGAGGTTCTTTGTAAGCCATCTGGCTTCCATGAGAGATTCGTTCATGAGGCTATCCACATATACAAACACAGAGACAATTTCAACCGAGAAGATGGATTCTATCTTAGCAATCATTGGAAAGATTTGATAAATCATTTCAGTTCTTGATTGATTGTTCACGCTTACAGTGGCTTTCAGACAGCATACATAAAAACAAATTTCGTCTCCCCCCTCCTCTTTTCAAAAAATAGATGGACTAGTCCTGGCAAACAGCCAATCGTTGCGCGTGACGCAAACGTTATTTTTTTATATAAATAAATAAATATGCCGTTTTCAAAATAAATTTATGCAAACCGACACACCTGATGATGACCGTTTGAGTTATGGTCGAAACGTCGTGAGAATTTTTTATTGTTTTATATATATTTTGTTATTTTGTTGTTTCTCTTCAACGTGACTTTACCGAAAAAACTAAGAATATGAATTACTGCAGTCACGAAAGCTTTACAGTTCTGTATGTGTTTGCATCTGCAAGTCACTCCCTACCGATTCATGGCCGAACTTCCAATCAGCTAGCCGTGGCTTGCTGGAAGTGTCCACGACCGTGCTGTCCGTGTTCACAAGTTCCTGCAGTAAGGAGAATAGGAAATCAGCAGGCGGTGAACATATGGCCACGGGCCACTTGCCAAAGTGCCATTCTTCACGAGGGCCCGATGATACTTTGCCTCTTGAGAAGAAAAATTAACTCACACTCATAAACGATACTGTGGCCTTGAAATAAAAAAAACATAAAATACATATACAGTGAGGGAAAAAAAGTATTTGATCCCCTGCAGGTTTGTACGTTTGCCCACTGACAAAGAAATGATCAGTCTATAATTTTAATGGTAGGTTTAGTTGAACAGTAAGAGACAGAATAGCAACAATAAAATCCATGTTTGACGGTGGGGATGGTGTTCTTGGGGTCATAGGCAGCATTCCTCCTCCTCCAAAGACGGCGAGTTAAGTTGATGCCAAAGAGCTCCATTTTGGTCTCATCTGACCACAACACTTTCACCCAGTTGTCCTCTGAATCATTTAGATGTTCATTGGCAAACTTCAGACGGGCATGTATATGTGCTTTCTTGAGCAGGGGGACCTTGCGGGCGCTGCAGGATTTCAGTCCTTCACGGCGCAGTGTGTTACCAATTGTTTTCTTGGTAACTATGGTCCCAGCTGCCTTGAGATCATTGACAAGATCCTCCCGCGTAGTTCTGGGCTGATTCCTCACCGTTCTCATGATCATTGCAACTCCACGAGGTGAGATCTTGCATGGAGCCCCAGGCCGAGGGAGATTGACAGTTCTTTTATGTTTCTTCCATTTGCGAATAATCGCACCAACTGTTGTCACCTTCTCACCAAGCTGCTTGGCAATGGTCCTGTAGCCCATTCCAGCCTTGTGTAGGTCTACAATCTTGTCCCTGACATCCTTGCAGAGCTCTTTGGTCTTGGCCATGGTGGATAGTTTGGAATCTGATTGATTTGTTGCTTCTGTGGACAGGTACCTGTTACACAAGCTGAGATTAGGAGCACTCCCTTTAAGAGTGTGCTCCTAAATCTCAGCTCGTTACCTGTATAAAAGACACCTGGGGGCCAGAAATCTTTCTGATTGAGAGGGGGTCAAATACTTATTTCCATCATTAAAATGCAAACCAATTTATAACATTTTTGACATGCGTTTTTCTGGATTTTTGTTGTTGTTATTGTCTCTCACTGTTCAAATAAACCTACCATTAAAATTATAGACTGATCATTTCTTTGTCAGTGGGCAAACGTACAAAATCAGCAGGGAATCAAATACTTTTTTCCCTCACTGTATATCATGTGTGTGCCAGGTGAATGATATCTGGTGAGTGGTGAGTGCCCGCATGGTGAGCGGTGTCTGGCGATGGGTCAGTTGTCATGCATGTGAGGTCACGCCACCTTATCCGTCCTCTAGTGTGTGTGTCAATAATAACAATGTCAACTTGCAACACGCCGCTACCGCACATCACTCGCTCGCTCTCGCAGAGAGGACAACGACTCGGAGGCGCGAGGAGGAACCACAGATGAGCGGGAAGGCAGCAGCCAGGCGACGAGTCGGCGCCAACGATTGCCCAAGCTCTGCGGTCCTCTACAGTTTGAGGTGGTGTGGGCCAATTAATGTGGGAGGAAACCGGAGCACCTGAAGAATAACTAAATAAAAAAATGTTTACCAGGTAAACATTTTTACCTGGTAACGTCGTGAGAATATTATTTTGTTATTTTATATTATCAATTTATTATTTTATTCTCATTTTACGTGACTTTACCGAAATAATCAAAGAAGATGTATGCTTTAACTTTAACATAGCCATTTCTGTGACCAGTCACAAGCTAATCACTCAGCCATTTCAATGCTAAATTATATGCTAATTCCTTTGTCAAGGCGCTTTGTTTCTTCTCACACAGCTTAAAGGTCGTGATCTGAGCGTGGCTTTTTTCACTCCAGCCCTGCCTCCAGACAGTCTCGTCCCTTCACCTGATGAAGGCCGCTTGTGTTGTGGCCGAAACGTCGTGATTTTTGTTACTTTATTTTTTACCTACGTGACTTTACCCAATAGAACCAGAGTATAGCGTGTGTTGCTTTTACGTCCAACAGATGGCGCTGTTTTTCAAAAAAAGCATATTTTTACCGAAAAAGCCAATGAGTATATTTTTACCTGTCACAGGTGTGACATCTATATAATAGTAGGTATATAACAACATAGTATGTATATAAAAACATGCGTGTATTCGAATGCAACGTTGTGTCAAAATTTCAAAGCAATCGGTGAAGAACTTTCGGAGATTTAAGATTTTGAACAAACGAACATTTACATTTTTATTTATATAGATTGTTATTCTGTTTATTTGCTTCCCGTATGAATAGAGATTACTTAAATACAGTTTTTTTTTCAATCACTGCAACTTTATAGTCAAGACAATAATGCTCGTAGAGTAATACCCCGATGTATGTCTTCCCCCTTTTTACGTCGTTTGGCAAATACGTGGTAACGTGATGATTAACACCGCCGCTTGATTGATTTGCGTCGCATCAAGACACATCTACGTCGCTGACAGCATCACCGTGCGTCCTTTCTCGTTGTTGTCAGTGTGAATTCATGAATTAAGAAAATTACGACAGAGACAAGCAGACACAATGTCTCCATTTATCACCACAATTTATTTAGATTCACACTATCAGACTGGAGAGGTGACCGAGTGGTTCAGAGGTCCACAGTGGTGAGATGTTAACTTCCTCGCCTGGTAATGCAGGAGGTCGTGGGTTTGACCCCGACCCTGATGCATGTATTTTTTTGGAATTTTAGTGTCTCTCTCCCCGTGGTTGCATGGACTTTTCTCCAATTCCTCCGTTTTTTTTTCTCTCTCCACATTTACAAGCGCGCGTTTAGAGTATTTAGCCGCTCAAAATTTCCACGTGATAAGCCACTTTGTCGAATTATTGTTTGGGACCAGGTCACTTCTGAAAAAGAGCTACATAGCTCAGTGGGCCTTACCTGGTAAAATCAAACATCGTTTATAGGTTGAAAATAGTTGATGGGTCCCGAGAACTCAGCCAGTACTGCTGCGATCATGAGTGTGAATCAGGGCAGTGAGCAGGATGATCTCATCCCGCTCGAAAAAAGGATACAAACTAAGCCTCATTGTGTTACGTTCATGTTTTACACTTGGTACGGTTAAATCCCATCTCTGAGCATTATAAATATAATTTTTGACTGTTACATGACAAAAAAAAATTCTCCAGCAGGGTGCGTGTGAAGATGCTGCCTCCTCGTGTGCTGATTGAGACATTGCCAAAACCGGTCCTGAGTTTGCTTGTATTGAACCAAAGTTGCTGCAATTATTAAATTCCTAGATGGTCGTGATACTTAAGCGATGTGTAAAACTAAACGTTTACATTGTTATGCAGAGGGACAGATATATGAAACGAAGCTTCTTAATGTTTTGACTTGTAATCTCCACAATAAAAACATAATTATTGTGTTATATGTATTACTGTATACAATTATGCGTTCAATTAGTACCCATATCGAACAGAGAGGGTCCTCGCCTCTACACATTTGGCAGTTTACCACCATTGCTTCAAGCGATGTTGGCTCTGCTGATGAGACACTGCATGTCGAAAACGCTCCAGAGGCTGCTTGTGTTGAACTTACAATGCTGTGGGTTGTGCAGTCGCAGAAGGTCACGTGTCTGATGGGATGTGTAAACAAAAAAACATTTAGACAAATGAAGCAACTGTTGTGTCAACCTATTTATGGTGTGGATAAAATGGCTACTTGATATATCAGATACATATTCTTAGCTCTTTCGGTAAAGTCACGTTGAAGGGAAACAATAAAATATATATAAAACAATAAAAATTCTCACGACGTTTCGACCATAACACAAACGGTCGTCATCAGGTGTGTCGGTTTGCATAAATGTATTTTTAAACGGTGTATTTATTTATTTATAACAAAAAACGTCAGCGCCACGCGCAGCGATTTGGCAGTTTATTTAGGACTAGTCCATCTATGTTCTGAAAAGAGGAGGGGGGAGACGAAAAATTAATGTATGCTGTCTGAAAGCCACTGTAAGCGTGAACAATCAATTAAGACCTGAAATGGTTTATCAAATCTTTCCAATGACATCAGATACAGTCGTGGTATCTCCTTCCGAGGGATATTTTGTAACACGAGGCGATGGTGATGACGTTATTCTGCTCTGTGAGCGTTCTGAATGGATTATTAATCTCATGATAGTTAAATATGTTTGGGGGAAGAAATAACAGAAAGATTAATCAGATTGGTCTGAGTAATGTCATATTAAAGTGTGTATTACAGATGCGATGCGTCCCATCCTCAAAGTAAGTGTAGTGATATTTATATTCATAATAACAATTATTCTTATTAATAGAGTGCCCTTTTCGCCCAGGCTTATCGGAGTGCTTCAGACAAGATAAGTGACGTACATCAACAACAACCGCCGTTCGCCACTAAGTGGCGGTGGCGGAACTCCAATGGCTGGTTGTGGAATAGGGGTTATGATGAGAGATGTATCTTAGGCGAATAGATTGGATGACCTATATCTAAATCACCCGGTATGTGCTCGATTTCGCTAGGCCTTAGAAGCTCGGCAGAGTTGAGCGTGGATATACTGTAGCCTGGATGTATGACTGATTAATTGCCAGCACGCACAAAGACGGTGCCGTAGCCAGCGTGAGCAGGAAAGGACAGTGCAGAAAAATCCATTGTTGTTCTGCAGTCCCCCCCCCCCCTCCATCTGCACCAACGCACTACTGACCAGCGTGGTGAAGTATGGTCATATATACCTCACGACCCGCAAGACTTTGGGAGGCCCTCATCCAGCAGTGGATTGATAAATTCTGGGCTGTTTATGTACATGCACATCTGGATTAGGGGTTGCAGTGTGGGGTAAGTATCTGCATTTGGGCTTAATGGTGGGGGTTATGACTGGGGATTATACAGGTAGGAACAACAGGTTCCACACACGAAAAAGATGGCAAGCTACCCTTTTTAGATGTCCTAATTAAAAGGAGACCTGATGGTTCAATGAGCCACTCTGTCTACAGGAAAGCTACCCATATGGATGCTCACTTAAAACCGGATTCCCACCACCATCCATCCCAGAAGAATTCCCTCATCAAGACTCTATACCATAGAGCCCAATGCATTTCCGACCAGGAACACATTGCCAGTGAACTCAAGCACGTACACCAAGCTCTCAAGGCTAATGGTTACTCCGACTACACAATCCGCAAAACCATCACTCCAACCATGAAGTAGGATCCTCTTGACGAGCCATTCAAAACCATCACCTTACCCTACATTGCGGGGGTCACAAAAAATATCTCCAAAATCCTGAATAAACACAAGATCCAGGTCCGATTCAACACAGTACATAAAATCCGTGATCTGGTTCCGTCTGTAAAAGATGTGTTCCAGACATACAGTACCCGGGCGTCTACAAACTAAGTTGCCTCTGTGGAAGCAGCTACATTGGAGAAACCAAACGACATATCTCAGACCGCATCCGTGAACATAAAGCAGACTTGAAACACGGTAGGACGAACACCTCAGCCGTGGCAGATCACTTTTATTATTCAGTGGGCTCACATGACATTGACTTCTCCAAGACGGAGGTTCTCTGCAAGCCACCTGGCTACCATGAGAGATCCGTTCATGAGGCTATCCACATATACAAACACAGAGACAATTTCAACCGAGAAGATGGATTCCGGCTTAGTAACCATTGGAAAGACGTTATAAACCATTTCGGTTTTTGATTGATTGTATTTTACGGTGACTTTCAGACTGCAATCCATTTGCTGGCATTGCCTCTTAGTACCTTTCACACGACGGTCAATAGTTTAGTTTATAGCATTTTGTATAATAATAAATAGTATAACAGTGTAATGTTAAATATAATTGATAAGGCAATATATAGTACCGTAATTGTATAGTGAATATACAGCAGTGTGGTATACAGTAGGGTTAGTAGAATAATACATAGTGTAATACTACAAGTCTAATATTTTATAGTCTAAAGTATAGGGTAGTGTATAGTAACGCATTGTATAATTCAAGGGTGGGGTTTGTCTATGTATACGATATCATACAATGTAGTTTAGATTGGAAGGTATAATATTGTAATGTATAGTAGTCTAGTTTGTAGCATAGTTATAACGCAACACAGGACAGAGCAGCGCACCGTGGCTGTTTCCCCCTCTTCCCCCCCCCTCCTCCGTTCCGAACATAGATAGACTCGTCCGTCTGAACCAAGCTCGTCGCTCTCCGTGGTGTTAATCCCTCATACTAACATCATGCTAATCCCCCAGTTACATGCTAATTTACTGTTGATATGTAAACTCCTCTCCCCCCTTCCTCCGTTCCGTACATAGATGAACTCGTCCGTCTGAACAAAACTCGT